CACATGTCTTTTTATATCTGCAATGGTCCGCATTTAAGGGGTGAAACAACCCCCCAAAGTTTGGCAAAAATTCGATTTGTATAATAATTTGTATAGAAGCAATAGAGGGATTTCGACGAAACTTGGTATAAACATATTCCGTATAAGGACGGTGAAAACACAATATTGTCCAGCAATGCTACAACCCCCCAAGGGGGTGAACTACCCTTCAGGCGATATTTTTTTGTAATATCTATTAAACAAGCACTCCTACTTAAGTTCCACTTACGGTATATGATTGCTCACAAAAAATGAAGAAATACGTGTTTTTTGCTTTTTGCCAATAAACATTTACACATCGGTTGTAAACAATGAATGTAGGTGGTATACGGGTATATTTCGATTAGCTAAATTGGGTTATATCGTGACCAATTCATTGTATATAAATCTTGTGAACGTGCTAATTCCACAAAATGTCGTTGGTTTTCGTAACATGCAATTATTTATAAATAAATTTAAAATAAAGATTAAGAGACTAAAATAGTTTCGCAACAGATCCGATGATGCAGTCATCACCCGTTTCCAAATAGTAATACAATCTCTTTGGTGAAACGGTAAAATTGGATTTTTACTGTTTTTACGAAAATAGAATTAGCGATATTCGTTCACCCCCTTGGAGGGTGTAGCATTGCTGGACAATATTGTGTTTTCACCGTCCTTATACGGAATACGTTTATACCAAGTTTCGTCGAAATCCCTCCATTGCTTCTATGAAAATTATTATACAAATCGAATTTTTGCCAAACTTTGGGGGGTTGTTTCACCCCTTAAATGCGGACCATTGCAGATATAAAAAAACATGTGTCTCTTAGATTTTTGTGTTCTTCAACATGTATGAAAATCAATAAGATCGGGGGCGGACACTTGGGAATGTTTCCTTGTTAGAGAGAGGGTTTGTCGACCTAAATGAATGGCCTGGAATGAGACCGAGGTGTCCTTAAAACAACTAGTCGTTTCTTTCTTTGGTTAAAGATTGTTTCTTCCTCGACGGTAACGACTGAACCGATAGGTGACTTCTGGTTTCCTCTTTTGGAACGCGTTCACGGCCCAGATTGTAAAAGCGAGCCTCTTCGGCCTTTGGCAACATGCACGCTTTAATCGCTACGAGGGCAAGATCGAACGGGTTGCCGTTAATAACGCGCGACTCACCGCTTCCGTCGTTTTTCACGCCCGGTACCGCGAAAGCTCGAAAATTTGCACTTATATTGAGTATCGATCGGAGTGTCCGAGAAGCCCGGGAAATCGAGGGAATCGTTCCCTGGAATTCTTTTCTCCCTCGCGGAGGTGGAAGGATGTCTTTTGGAAACGGCGACCAAGGGATCCACCCCTGTTTCGTTGACGGGGAGAAATCAATTGGAGGGTTCGCTGTTTCGCCCCGAATGATATGTCCTTCGATGTCCGCCCGGCTTATTTCGAAGATTCCGTTCTTGCGAACCCTGCAAAGAAAATCATTTATTTCAAATTATAGTCATTCGGATTGAATGTTTAACGCGGGTATTTCGCACATGTTCACGTGTCAGTTTCACGGATCTTCTTAATGTTCACAAGGAACTATTAGATAACCTATTCTAAAAGAAAAATGTGCCAATTGTAAAATGTACTAAATTCTACGTATGCGGTTTTAGGTAGTAAAATATGATTTATGTAAACAATTTTCTTTTACAAAGTTCACTTATATGTTTTATGTTTTCCGCTGACTCGGTTTCTTATCTACGGTACAAGTTATCAGATCATATTACAATAGGGGAGGACAATTTACCGACCTCGTGGTTCAATTTACATGCACAAGGAACTATTAGATAACCTATTCTAAAAGAAAAATGTGCCAATTGTAAAATGTACTAAATTCTACATATGCATTTTTTAGGTAGTAAAATATGATTTATGTAAACAATTTTCTTTTACAAATTTCACTTATATGTTTTATGTTTTCCTCTGACTCGGTTTCTTATCTACGGTACAAGTTATCAGATCATGTTACAATAGGAGAGGACAATTTACCGACCTCGTGGTTCAATTTACATGCGCCGTTTAATTTGTATCGTTGTAAGGAATATTTTATTTGAATGCCTACCGTGTTGAATAGCGTTTATGTATTTTTATGTGTGTACATTGCATGCAGAATTTCACGGATAATTGAAATATGAATTCGTTTACTGTAATACCCTGCCAAAAAGATTTCTATTGGCTGTTTTGTAAACTCGGGACAATGTACCCAACTTTACCCTACTGTTTATATATTCTTTTTACTCTATACTTTAAATTTATTCCGTTTGGGATTAAGTTTCGTTAGCACGGCCCAATGAATGTTATTGCAGGATGAGGAATTTCTGTCTTTACAAGAACTTCATCTCGAATGGTCCGTACAAAGCATATGCACAAAACTAGCCGAAGAGACTTCACTAATGTATGACAGTATTTAAAAAAGTAATTACTTTCTAATCTCAATCTCTTTATTTGGCAATTTACGACATCATTTAATTCCTACTTTAAAACACTATTTATTAATATCATCTTGTAGCTAAAGAAAATCGGGTTAAATATGAAATTAACCGAAGTTCGCGAAATCAAGGTTAGCTTATCTAATTTGGTTAAGTAGGTTTCGTTGGTTTGACAAACTTCTGTCTTAATATACATTGTAAAACATATTGCAATATATTGGAAAAGATCGAGGAATTGCTGTAAAGTCAAAGAATACTATAAGTAAAATTACCTTATCAGTTTTAGAGACTTTTTAAGATTTTACATCAAGCTTTCAAGTTTTCCAAGGAAATTCAGAATTTTACGTAGATTTTTTTATAGCGTATACATATCTGCATACATTCCATAAATCACTTGAACCATCCTTACGATATTTACGCGATGCTGTAGGGGACACGCGTATCTTCCCCATATCTAGATTGCTCTACGTTTTATGCTCACGTATATCATCTGTAGAAATCTGTTCCTATCTGAAGTACGACTTCTCAAAAATCTTTATATTATTAAGCATCATATTTATTCACATAAGAAACTGGCGGACAAATAATTCAACGAAAATAAATCTTTCTCTCTAACGGATGCGTATTTGGGTGCAACCGAATACGTACTCGGTTGCAGAATGAAATACTTATTCATTCAAATATGAATATCCATGTGTTAATCCATTATTAAGGTGAAGTGAAACCCCCTTCAAATCAGTCGATTCGAATACAACATTTTGTTTTAAGGGTATTAGACCAAACTGTCCGAAACTTTGACACATCACTCCTGATCATCTAAGAGTTGTCCTGACACATTCAACATTTGGATTTTTTTTTTATTTTTTAACTCAGCCCAGACCAGAACCAAAATGGCGTCGAGCTCTCATATTTCGATCAATATACAATAATCGAAGGCTCTGATATGAGAATCGAAAGGGTCAGGATAATTTTACGACAATTTAGAACACTCTGGTAATCGATAAACTCGCATATGAACGGGATAAAGGCAAAAAAATTGTTTTATGCGCTTCTATGCCAAAACGATGGGAATATGAGGTCTCAGAGTGAAAATTTAATTGACCTGAAAATCACAGATGGCGCATGGGGTCCCTCTGCAGTCAATTAGGCCCCCAGAAAGCATGAATTCGGGGGATTTCTGGAGTTTGACTTCGATTTCTTTATAATTATTGTACGAAAACGACAGGTGGAGTATGCCATTTGGTACAATGCCCAATATAATTCGATACAGCTGTCAATATAAAAACGAACGTCGGCAACGTATGCATTTAGAAAAATCTTCTTTATCGACGTTGATCAAGTTCCTCGACGTGTTTCACTTCACCTTAAATCAACAGTCGCAATAGCATCTCCGACAAGTTCATGTCATTTTTTTACACGGCGGGTGTTTTAAAAGGCCCATACCATAGATATTCAGATATAGAAGAAAAACCTTAGCGGTTCAACCAACTGATGCTATAAGTGAAGTTACAGTAATATAAACAACGACAGCATACACGCGCTATTTCAGAAAAGGAAATTGTATCTATTTATATGATTAAGATATCTCGCATCCCACGCATGCACGCGGAAAATTCCAAGTGTTCCATAAAACTTCAGACATAAATTGCAATACCGATATGTCTAGAATCGTTACTACAACTATTTTACTGAGCATCTCCAAGATCACGACAAACGACTGTCTACAACAGCAACGTCATTTAGTGCTTAACGTTTAAATGATGTGAGTGGTTCGTCTCGGGCGGTTTCTCTCTTACTTTCTCTGCATTAAATAAATATCAATTAGAGATGCATGTAGAAATCACTATATGCCTGGTCGAATAGTGCGAACATCTTTCTCGGTGCTCCTAGCGTTGAAGCTGCGCGCGCAGCCGTGCTCGCTCACGCACTCGCGTACTCGCGTGCGGCGCTCGGAGTACGCGTGGACTTGTTAGCGTGCACTTCTTGGTTAAGGTCGCAGCCATTCACTTTAGCCGGGATGCTAGGAGGAATCTTTTAAAGCGACACACTCCATCGCGAGTCGCCTACTTCGGTCTTGCGCCTCGCGGCGTCGCGATGCTTGGCGTCGCACGGGAAGCTCACCTGCGCCGCGAGGGCCGGGAGCGCCGCGCCGATTGACGTCAGAGCGACGCGCCGGCTGATAAGAGCGAAAAGGCGTGATTACTTTCACGCGACAACGCCCGGAGACTACGCTCCCGTTGTTGGTTTCGCTGAGAGGTGGAAATATCCCGCGGACACTTTCCGTCATGTACTCCATTTAACACGCGTGAAAATGCCTCTCGTTTGGCCAGCTATTTACACATGTCGCAGGACCATAATTCTTCGTCGGGATTAAGGTGAAGTGAAACCCCCTTCAAATCAGTCGATTCGAATACAACACTTTGTTTTAAGGGTGTTAGACCAAACTGTCCGNATAATTATTGTACGAAAATGACAGGTGGAGTATGCCATTTAGTACAATGCCCAATATAATTCGATACAGCTGTCAATATAAAAACAAACGTCGGCAACGTAGGCATTTAGAAAAATCTTCTTTATCGACGTTGATCAAGTTCCTCGACGTGTTTCACTTCACCTTAAAGGGACACGCAGGTTACCGTTCGCCCTGAAAAAATTAATTTAGTCAGTCCAGGACGGTTTGTAAGACAACTTGGCATTAAATGCCATTCGATGTTTGATGAAAATTCAGTGAATAAGAATAAGCCTATTTATCCCATGTTTGTTTGTCATGTATGTTTTATTCGGCCTCTTAAATTACTTCTTAAATTATGGCTCAGTCTTTGAAAGTTCAATTGTGATCTTTATTCCCACGTACCGTTTGAGGAATACAACATAATCACGTGCTGAAGTTTTCAAATGATTCGGTGCACCGTTTGAAAAAAAGTTTTATCAATAATTTCGCATTTTGATATATAGAATGACCCTCTTATATCACCTTAACGCCAAGGATCCAAACTTCAGAAGTGGGAGGGGAAATGGGAATCCACTCTCTACATTACTGTAAAGAAAGAAATGAAAGTTTGACCAACTGAACAAAAAGAGAAGAAATCAAGCAAAAAAAATGAGGAATTTTTAAAATGAAATATCCTCCTACTTCAATTATTTATCCACGCGTATTCAGTTCTTTAAATTTCAGGTATCTCCTTGCATCGGTTGAACAAGTTTGGAGAAACTGTAGCGTTGGACGATCACGTGGTAAACGGTCAATTTGGAAAGTACTAATATAATTTAAGTAGGCACATTTAGAAGAATTGTTTTAGTAACCTTTTAGAGGAAACAGGACGCGTACGCGGATAAATTCTAACCTAACGCCCCTGGGACGGAGCGGGAACACTCCGGTTATATCCGGTCCGGATCGGCAGGCGACCCGCACCACGCCGGCTCGCTATACAGTGGGAAAATTTTACCAGTCCGGCGGGACGGCCAGCGTCTTTAGAAAGGGTATTTTTATTCCGAACAAATAAAGTTATTAATAGAAGCTTCAGAGGGGATTCTGCATCCGACAAAATTGCCAACGCAACCGCGCGTTTGACCCACTGTCCGACACGTAGTAAAGTAACGGCGCTAATTGTACCGAGCGAGCAAAGGACCTACACAGCACTGGTTCGAAAGGCGACATTATCAGGAAACTTGCTGGGCACAAATGAATCATTTAACGTCGGTAATAATTATTCAAGATAAGCGCCCGTAGTTTTACCTCATATGTAATAAGCTCTGAAGATATAAATAAGTATTTTCCGTGAGTTCACCGATATAGGACCCTCTCACTATTTTTGGGGGTAAATATAAGAGTCGTATTGATTTTCATACCAGATCCAATATCGATAAGCGTCGAGACGTGCCTTGTATGCGGACTACGTGCATTTTCTCTCCTCGTGATTCATTGCTGTTTTTCTCATTCGCCGTGACTTGTAAATCTTTCACTCCTGGAATAGCGGGGGAGAAACGACGAATTGAATTGGATGATCCGTTCGCACCATTCGGGACGTACGTACCACATTACCCGTGCGTAACCTTTGCATCGTTTCAAATTTTCTCGTACTTACGTGGTTTGGCTCAAGGGAGAATTGCATTTTCGGGAAATCGCCCGACCGTCGAGCGATCCATACTACCCGTGGGCAGTCACCGCCTCCGGTTCTACCGAAGTAGCGAAATTGGCCATTGTGCGCCGAGCCGCCTTACCGGGTCTCGCCCGGGAAAGCGTCCGCTAGTCGGTACCGCCGTGCGCCGCCAGAGGGCAACGCGACGCGGCGCGGTGCGCGCGTCGCGCGAGACCTAACCTCACCTGTCGCTTGAGTTGGCCGCGCGACAGGCCGTACGCGCTGTCGGCCGACGGGCGCTGTCCTGAGTCCAGTCAGTTTGCTCCATCGTGTCCATCACGGGAGTCGCGCAGCTCACATAACCTCTCGCGACGGTTCGCTGTTGCTCGAGAGCGTTATGAAGGATACAGGGTCGTGGTTCCTCCGATGATCTACCGCTAGTGCCGCGCGTCGTCGACGCGGCCCGGGACACCTCGACGATAGCGAGGATAGCCGTAAGGTAATTTCTCTCCACCGGAGTGAGGACGGCGAAAGCGACCTTGCTCTCCAACGTTCCTACTCGATGGGATACTCTCTTATCGGCGTTCTTTCTGTAGCGGTGGCAGCCTGCGATAGCTGGCGTACTCCGGTTATGCCCAGCTCCGAAAAAACAGGGCTTCTGAAACCTAACCTCTCAGTTTTGGACACGGTGACACCGGCGACCGGAACCCTTTCTCCTGGTGATCTGGTTACTTCGAGCAAGCTTCGCGCTACGTCTCGCTCCTGGAACCTTGCTGAACACCGTACCGTTTTTGGATGCGCGATGCTAATATTGGTCTGTCGTCCCGACGCACTCAAGTATGCAACATTTATTTATGCTGGCTTCGATTAGCTGACCTCTGAACTGGCACACGATGTGGACCAAGCTGCATCGACACTCGATTAATCGAGTTGCCATGGTGTCTATGGTCTCTCGGTGTGTGCGTATTCGTGTGAATACTTCCTGTGTTTACTGTGTCTTCTACCATGCCCTGCCAAGTAGCTGGAAGCTTCAACAAATTGGTGCTAATGGGCCGAGACGTTATGGTTCGTCTTTTATCTGAAGTCTAACTCGTGTGCATCTTGGTTCGTCGCTTTCCCTCTTGAGGCCTTTTAGACGTTGGTCGATATTGGTGACTTTCTATATTTATTGAAATCCGTGTTCTCTGTGAAAGTACCCATCATTCGCATATCTACATTTGGGTGTTCACGGAGAGTTGGAACTAATTAGTTTATAATTGACGTTAAGTGGTTATTTCATAAACTCTTGAATTTTATTTGATTATTCTCTAATCGGTTGTATAATGATTGGACGCTATTATCTTAACATTGGAACACCGTGTATATGTAAGTTGCCACTGGGTGGTTCGTCGGTGCAGCATATGTAAAGAAGTATGGTTCATATTTAGATATACGTATGTTCTTAGGTAATTCTTTACTCTGACAGTGACACTGGCACTGTGATGGTGTCATCCTTTTCCAGAGAGCTTGTGCCAATTTTTCAGCTTTACCTATAAAATGAGCAACTTACATTGCCTATGACTAATTCTCACCTCTTCTTAAAGGTCTCCTCTGCATATCAATCTTTGTGTCATTACATCATTCTTAACTTAACTCCTCAACTCATTCCCCCAGTAACTCTGTCCTTACTCATCCCCTGTTAACATTCATAGTCACTATTAAAGATACTTGCACAAGAGAGGCCTATCGCACGCTTCTAAAAATTAAATGCTGACAAGCTTATTCATCCTATCTTCAGTGACTCGGACTTTAATTCTGAGAATATTTGAAGGTTCCCTGCAAACATTTGTTCTCTAATCTATAACTACAAAATCTCTACAATTTCATTCGTTGATAGAATGCCATTGAGTAAGCTCAATAACAACAAAAGATCTTGTACCATAAGGTACAATGTAAACCGTAGGTTCAATTATTTTCATTTCATGTACAATGTGCAGTTAAAACTAAGTTAAGTTTCTTTTATAATAAAAGTATAGCTTTCACTTTACCGAAGGTAGAAGAAATAGGTGGTGAAAATAAAGTGCTTTGTACAGTAGAGGGTATATAACTGCACTTGATTGGTGTCTAACATCTCATTCATCTAGCATTGAATTGGGTAATACCCGTCTAATGGTTCTAAGTTAGAGTGCGTTACCGGGCATTAGGCAATTTCATTAGACTCGTATACGACAATGCTACATATCGCACGTGATAGACGAGGTTAGTCCAACTGATCTAACAAGTGTTCCTAGATACCCAAACGCATAAGGTTCACTCTGGTCGGGTTAGTAAGATTTAAAAAAATTAATATAAATGTCCTATGCACCCGCTTTGGATACCTTTATTATCTATTGAAAATAAATAATGAAATTTAACGATTACCTTGTTTACTACGAAAAATCATAATGCCGAATGTGTATAATATGCACATATGATGTATAATTTTCTTTGGAATGTGTTTCCATACTGTACAACTCTTCCTCTGATTTCAGCTATCGAACCTCTACCCGTTTGGAGGCTAAGGGAGCATTGGTGACCAGGAAAAAGTAGGCTTGGTAACTTTGAAGGTGCCGAACAGTGTTGGCGTAAGCCAACGTTGGCGAACGAGGCGAAATGGCGACGATAGATGGGCGGCCGGCCCAATATGGGATTTCCCTCAAGCAGCTCCGCGAGCTCATGGAGCACCGGGGTCGCGAGGGTGTCAACAAAATTAACGGCTATGGTGGTGTGCAGGAGATATGTAAAAAGTTGTACACTTCACCTAGTGAAGGTAAGTTAGGGTTCAACTTCATTGGACATATCTTGAGAGTGAAAAATGTATCCGGAATGAGAGGAGAATCATGAAAAATGTATCCAGAAGTGGAACTAGATTTTAAAGAATAGTAACACTGTTTGTTTCTTCTTCTTTTTTTTTTTTACACAATTTTCACCGTAAGTTTTTAGATTTTCTTTGCCACCGGAAATGTTCACTAGTGAAAATGAAAGTTTGTTTATTAATGTTATGTAAGCATGTATAAATAAGTAACGTGTTTGTCATTCCAATAGGCCTCAGTGGATCGGCGGCGGATATCCAACACAGGCGAGACACATTTGGTTCCAACATGATACCTCCAAAACCACCAAAAACGTTTTTACAATTAGTATGGGAAGCACTGCAGGATGTAACATTAATAATTTTGGAAATTGCTGCATTGGTTTCGTTAGGGCTAAGCTTCTACCAACCAGCGGACGAGGAGAAACGTATGTATTACTTACATTCTTTCCTACTTTCACTTCCCAGTTTAGTATTTGTACCCCGCTTACGCTGACCACGTATTTATCCTGGTGTGGTTGTACCTTGTTCTTCTAGGAAATAACATCAAATGCAAACCTGCTAGAAATCGTACCATTAATGTAATCGAGTCCAGGAATGTTTTCATTTATGAAAGACCTTATTATTTATTTCAGCTTTAGTCGATGAGGATGAAGCTAAATACGGTTGGATCGAGGGTCTTTCAATTTTGCTTTCTGTAATTCTGGTGGTAATAGTGACGGCTTCCAACGACTACTCTAAAGAAAGACAATTCCGGGGTCTCCAGAGTAGGATAGAAGGGGAACATAAATTCTCCGTCATTCGGCAAGGAGAAGTAAAACAAATTTCTGTATCTGACATCGTTGTTGGCGACATATGTCAGGTATGTACCCAACTACGTAAATGCGTTTGTGTACTTCCAGTTTTTGTCTTTTTTTTTTTCCAAAGAGGAACTCGTAAAGTGGTGCACGTATTATGGCAATACAGCTCTCACTTGCTATTTCATTAGTCATATTGCTTTACCGTGAACTGTTCCAATATCAGCAATTCAATCCTACATAATCAGTTTGAAAAGAAATTGGGCAAAGGCAAAAATTAATTTTATTTTAATTCGCCTGTGTAATGTGTTCGTGATTATTAACAATGCAGATCAAATATGGAGATCTGTTGCCCGCGGATGGAATCCTCATACAAAGCAACGATCTAAAAGTAGACGAATCCAGTTTAACTGGAGAGTCAGATCATGTCAAAAAGGGAGAATCTTTTGATCCAATGGTACTTTCAGGTAAGTAATTATAATGACGAAATGGTTACAAACAATCACGCTCTGTAACCATTCATATAGTACATCACGAGATTATTGGTTGCAATCGAGTCATTTTAATTTAGGCACTCACGTGATGGAAGGGTCAGGGAAAATGTTGGTGACTGCTGTTGGCGTGAACTCGCAAGCTGGTATTATTTTCACTTTATTGGGTGCTGCTGTTGATCAGCAGGAACAGGAAATCAAGAAGATGAAGAAAGGTACGTCTTCGATTAGCAGGTTTGCGAGTCGGATTAGTGTCCGCCACTCCTTATATATATGACAGTCTTGGAAAATTTCATAACCATCACCGTCATGTTGCAAAAGTAGAATATAGGTAACACGTCCGATTACTACATTAAAGGAGTAGCGGATGAACGGTTACATGGCATGCCATTTTAAAGATACACAAAACGAAGTGTGAACCGCTAGCCGGTCGCATGATTTTGACTTTGATGTGATTCGATTTTATCTGATACTGACAATAGTCGTGTTTTACACCCCGTTTTTCTTGGCATGTATTTGCAACGTTTTAGAGTGGATTTTTGCTGTCTACTAATTACTGAAACTAAATAGGAAACGTACACAGATCACTTGCTCATGCAAGAATCAAATGCTCTAGAACAATTTTCCATGACTCCCAACATTTAGATGACAAAACAATATACAGTATTAATTAGTTTGGAAATGATCAGTAAAACATTCAATTGGGAATTAAGAAATTCAACGTATTTCATCCCATATAACTGAATGGTTGTGTTCAATTACATCGGACTCTATTCTGCATTGTGCTATTTTCCATAAAGAATGACCCCCCATGCCTTCATAAACAGGTCATGCACGCAAGTATCGAATGACGCAGCAATCAAAATCCCAACGCTATAGTTCGAATACTAATCTGTATAATTTGTTAACTCTAATATATGTGTAACTTGCTAATTGCGCTATCACATTGAACTATATACAACTCAGAGAGATATTACTTATGTATCGTCCATTAAAATCTGAGAAGCCTTATTTCTAAGGATTACATTTCGAACTATAGCTTTTCAAGTACTCAATCGAAATATTTCACAAACGTCTTATGTAGAACACATTCATTGGGATATAAGTCGGTACTTATATTTTATACGTTAACCAATTAACGTGTTCTGTATGTATACGTCAAATATCACGAATACTTGTATGGATTACAATACATTACAATGATAGTGCTTCCTTTGTGTAATTTGAAGTTGTTCACTTATCTTTCCATTTTCTACTTTTTTTATATATTTTTTTACCTTTACCTTAATGGGTATCTTTCTCCAATACAACGATACACTTTATCACTTTGAAAGTTTTGAAACCGCTATATGGAAAATATGTGAACTCCTGAAATTACAACGCACAAATCCTCAGTATACATTTATTTTTGTGATTCCTCATCTCACACAGCCTGGAAAGTACTCGTCGAATTCATTGCTCAATTAATGCAAACGGACTCCTTTGCATTCCGTTCGCGTGTCTACATTATTTCGATTGTAACTTAAATGTTCTAAAAAAATAATCTTACCATTAATTCTTTAAATCGACGTAAGCCATCCGCATATTGCATAAAAATAGAAAGTAATATTTTAAAGGTAAGCACTGAATTCGTTGATTTCATAAAACAGTTCAATCATTACGTTTAGATCTTTCCAGGTATATGTTCCCCATCTCGTGTCCCTTTCATATCCTTTGCAAGATCAACAGTAACAACAATTAGTTTAAACATTGAAAGATAAAAACATTGAGATCTCGAGAAATATCGAAAAGAGGCGTATCCCAATTTGCTGTTGGTAAAAAGAAATGAAATTCTTCACAAGGATTGCTAATCAATTTTGTTTTGCATCCACTTTTTTATCTAGAGGCTAAAAAGCAGCGGAAGAAGAGGTCTATACCAGGTGATTAAAACAAAATAATATATATACACACATATATATATATATATATATTTACATATCTATTTTATTTTCAAGAGTCTTGAAAGAAACAGGTCTTCTACTTTCTATAGATTGTTCGTTCATTTTCCTCGTGATGCGGCGTCTCTTAAACTGTAAATAAATAATTGTTTCGCGACGATAGAGTCTCTCTTTCTCTTTCTCATTCGATCTCACTAACACACCGCGACCGCGGTGGTGTCCCTATTAAATACATTTGTTACAGTCCGCGGTCATCGCTAAATTGTCACTTAAAGCACAAGTTAAAATAACTCTAACAACCTGTATCACACCTACAACCTGTTGTCTTCTTACCCCAACGTGTTGTTAACAATACTGAATGAATCGTTTGGCTTTAATTTGCACCATCAAATCCTTTCGTGTACTTGACCCCTGTTGATCTGTCGATGGTGATGGTTTTCTGCACACGTAATGTTAGTGAAACTCTGTTTCTTTGCATTTTGATGGTGAATCCCTTGGCTGTACTAGGCGGCCATTGTTATTAATGGATTATCTTCCGTCCGTCCGTCCGCCTAATATTGGCTCAAAGCGAATCACTTAAGATCTAAGTACAACCCTAACTAGATTCTGTCATTACCTCTGACTCTCCGTTAACTTTACTAACTAATTTTATAACTAGGTAGCACCTTACTTTCAGACACAGCGATTCATCAAGGCTCTCGACTCATAAATTAAACTTGTTCGCATTGGTCTATGGTGGGTTCGTCTTCAATTATTTCCTCTTTGCTGAGAAGTATCTTTAATGTTCAATCCATCGAGTCATGCTTGTAATGGAGGATTAGTTCGCATAATTTAACCCGGCCTGATTCCTCGTGACTTACAAAATATTATCAACAAAAGGATAAATGTACTTTTCACATAAAAAGAAATAATCTGGAACAAACCCATTCTACAATGCGAAATTACAGAACAAGGGAAATAGAAGAGTAAGAAACTTGCATGAGAGTAAAATGTTCCCTCTAAATAGCATGATCCAATTTAGTCTTTTAAGTTGGAAGACTCCACCCAACGGAAACATGTGAAGGACTTACTTTTACATTGAAATTATTATTTCGTCATTAAAAAATTAAAAAAAAACGGTCTAATAACATCGTACTTTTCTGCACAAAAAAAGCATGGGTAATGTTGTTTGTTCCGTCGATAAAATGCGGGGTTCCGACGTGTTTAAATTACTGGCTATTTTTATAAAATGAACGTCTCAAAATATCTTTTATCCGTTCATGGACCATGATTATCATAGTGGCTTTATACAATATACTATATCTTTGTCGAAGAGCCTTGACTACTCGCAGACACGTGGATCGTGAACATTCGTTTGACCTATACATTGTTGCTAAAGGAGATGAAGCTGCCGAGATCACTGGAAACAGTCATGCAGCCGGTGGTGGTAAGCACGAGGGCGGCGAGAACCATCATGCACCTTCCGGAGGGGGTGGCGGTGAGGGCAAGAAGGACAAAAGCGTCCTCCAGGCGAAGCTGACTAAACTCGCCATCCAGATCGGCTACGCCGGATCGACCATCGCAGTGCTGACCGTCGTCATTCTAGTCATTCAATTCTGCGTGACGACGTTCGTCATTCAGGGGAAACCGTGGAAGAACACGTATGCTGGTGACCTGGTGCGGCATTTAATTATCGGTGTGACGGTGCTCGTCGTAGCTGTTCCCGAAGGTCTTCCTCTAGCCGTTACTCTGTCCCTCGCCTATTCCGTTAAGGTATTGTAAATATATGAATACACAAAGTAAGGTATTGCTACAAATATCCGCGAATACGATAGCATATAGATGATTCATCGTGTTCATGGATTACTTACTATTATTCTATATACGGTTTTTCATATGTGAGTCATATCGTTTTCGACGCGATAGCTGATCCCCGTGGAACTATGACCACCTACTTAATTAACGTTCAATTAATATATGTAGTTTAGAAATGATTTATATCATTTAAGAAATTGATTTGTCGGGTATCTTGCCGAATCGAATGAAAACGCGAGAGAATTTAATACGGAGTATGATTTTCGTAGAAAATGATGAAGGACAACAACCTGGTGCGTCACTTGGATGCTTGCGAGACCATGGGTAACGCTACTGCCATTTGCTCGGACAAGACAGGAACGTTGACGACCAATAGAATGACCGTCGTACGGTCGTACATATGCGAGCAGATGAGCGACAGTGCGAACTTCTCGGATATCCCCAGTCACGTCGGAAGCTTGATAATCCAAGCAGTCTCGATTAATTCGGCGTACACGTCCAGAATCATGCCCTCGCAAGACCCTACCGAGCTGCCTATGCAGGTCGGCAACAAAACCGAATGTGCCTTACTTGGATTTGTATTGTCCCTGGGCAAGAGTTATCAAACCGTGCGAGACGACCACCCCGAGGAAACGTTCACGCGAGTATACACGTTCAACAGCGTCAGGAAGAGCATGTCCACCGTCATACCGAGGCAAGGTGGTGGCTACAGGCTCTTTACAAAAGGCGCTTCCGAAATCATCATGAAGAAGTATGACTCTCTTACCTGCGTACTTACTTGGCTTAATACGTAAATTCCGCCTTGTTTTGTTTCTTTAAAAGTGTGGGATATTAATCTGACATTTGTGTGCCTTACAGATGTGCCTTTATATACGGTCGCGACGGACATCTGGAGAAGTTTACCAGGGAGATGCAGGAGCGGCTGGTAAAGAAAGTGATAGAACCAATGGCGTGCGACGGCCTCCGTACCATCTCCGTTGCTTACCGGGACTTCGTACCCGGCAAGGCCGAAATCAATCAGGTCCACTGTGAGGGCGAGCCTAATTGGGAAGACGAAGAGAACATCGTGGCCAATCTTACCTGCCTTTGCATCGTCGGTATCGAGGATCCGGTGCGGCCCGAGGTACCGGAAGCGATCAAAAAGTGTCAGAAGGCTGGTATCACTGTCAGGATGGTCACTGGCGATAACATCAACACAGCGAGGTCCATTGCCATTAAATGCGGTATCGTCAAACCGAACGAGGATTTCCTCATCTTAGAGGGGAAGGAGTTCAATCGGCGGATCAGAGACAGCAATGGAGAGGTTCAGCAGCATTTACTGGATAAGGTTTGGCCAAAACTCAGGGTACTGGCTAGATCCTCGCCTACGGACAAATATACCCTTGTTAAGGGCATCATAGATAGCAAAATATCGGCAAGTCGTGAGGTCGTAGCTGTCACTGGCGACGGCACGAACGACGGTCCCGCCCTGAAAAAGGCCGATGTCGGCTTCGCTATGGGCATCGCTGGAACCGACGTCGCCAAAGAAGCCTCCGACATCATCCTAACGGATGATAACTTCTCTTCCATCGTCAAGGCGGTTATGTGGGGCAGGAACGTCTACGACAGCATAGCCAAGTTCTTGCAGTTCCAACTGACAGTTAACGTCGTCGCGGTCATAGTCGCCTTTATCGGCGCGTGTGCCGTACAAGACTCACCCCTGAGGGCGGTACAGATGTTGTGGGTCAACCTGATCATGGACACGCTGGCGTCGCTTGCCCTGGCCACGGAATTACCCACGCCTGACCTTCTGCTTCGTAAGCCTTACGGCCGCACGAAACCTCTCATTTCCAGGACGATGATGAAGAACATTCTCGGCCAGGCCGTTTACCAGCTAACTGTCATCTTTGTGCTCCTCTTTGCCGGTAAGTTTTCCCATGGCCCGGTTTCTTTTCCGTCTGCCTTTAACCTCGATTGACGACGATGCATTTGTTAACTTCTTAGGGGATAAGATGCTCGACATCGATACCGGGAGAGGCGTGGCAGAGGCCGGTGGCGGCCCGACGCAACACTTTACCGTCATCTTCAACACGTTCGTCATGATGACCCTCTTCAACGAATTCAACGCCAGGAAAATTCATGGTCAGCGCAACGTCTTCCAGGGACTCTTCACCAACCCCATCTTCTACACTATTTGGATCTTCACCTGTTTGTCGCAAGTAAGCACATGGTTCTTGCGATTTACGTTCTCTTTACCTTGGAGTACATAAGTTCCAGACGAACTCCATGCGTTAGATTCGATGCAGTTTCATGTTCTGCATATCAGTTCCTTTCTCTTGTCGTAGTTCCTTGAAAATTGCTCTGAATATTAACTCAATACGGTTCAACTATCGAAAATATCGGCCCACAGCTCTTACGATGTCTCTTCCAAGTGCTTCATCGATGAGGTGACGATTACGTCGCATTCTCATTCTAGGTGCTGATCATCAACTACGGTAAGATGGCGTTCAGCGCAAAAGCTCTTACCCTAGAACAGTGGATGTGGTGCCTGTTTTTCGGATTCGGCACGCTACTCTGGGGCCAACTAGTCACGACTATTCCTACGCGCAAGATTCCCAAGATACTTTCGTAAGTCAGATACCACGTCAATAACTGTGTCTCTTTTTCCGGTTTGCGGGACCGCCGTTCGCCGGTCATCTTGGCCGCATCGCGAACGACTTGCCGGGTCGCGGTCTCACTCGCACGCTCTGTTAGAGACGCAACTTGGTCATTAGGTGCACGGCGATCGATCATCCATAGAGAATTTCACGCTTTTAACATTGTTTCCAGGCGACCCTGCGATATCTTACATCGACGTCGCAGCGTCTCGTGGAAAACGTAGACTTTTGACGGCACAAACGGGATCAAGTTCATCATCGTTCGCTTGAAATAAATGCTTCGACCAGTGTACACCAGTATACACGTGGCGGATTTTTTCGGAAGTTCTCCTTAACTCATTCTGACCTAACGATCCAACACAGTTCGAAGGCACATTGGTATATCGTAACACTCAATATATTTGAAGGAAGTGCTCGTTCAGTCTCTTGCACAGATCAACACGTTGCTTGCAAATTCATTGTTTCCTTTTTCAGTGACTAGAAAAGGTTCAATTAATACGCGTGAACGGTGTCTTCCGGGTAATTTGCCTTTGAAAGATCTTAAAACCGCTGACCTTGATACTTTGGTTATTTAGAGGTGTTCAGGTCAAACTCAGCTTCATTCTGGCCAAAGCAGTTCGGCGGGACAAAAGGAGAGAGCTCGGTTCCAAGAAAACTTTCGCATTTGATTAGCGAAAGGAACGGGCGCAATGCCGCACAGAGGACGGAAGCGTGACGTCACCTCTCTGTGCGAAATCGAACCAAGCGAGTCCAAGTGCTCGTACGCATGTTTTCGCGATATACCGAATCAGTTCGCGTGGTGCGATTCGCTATGGATATCCGATGGCCGGTCTGTACATATAAACGACGTTGAAAGCATCGCTCGATCGGCAGCCAGCATGGTGCCGAACTATGTTGGCCGATTCTCTTGGTGTACATTGTACGTTGGTAGCCGGACACCAACGATTAGCGACTTAACTATCGGTAGTTTAATATATACATAATTATCTATCCTATCTATATATCTATATATTTATATATACTTATATATATTTATATATATACCCTTTTAGTACGTGGTAGTGGCCTCTGCATGTTAGACCATCCTCCCGATCCCGCCAGCTGTGGCAGCTTACCCTCGAACGGGGTTTGCGATTTCGAATCGGACGTAAAGCTCGAGTCGCTCTTGCCCCAGGACTTACCTCGCCTCGTTCCGTTGTCCGCTTGGCCCGGATGCTCGTTTTTCCCCGCAAAGGGCGTTTCGCCTCTCGCCCAGGCCCGGCGCTTGCTACTAAAAAACAGCCTGATCGAATACCAAAAATACCTAGAGAGAGCCGAGTCGCGCTCGCATCCCAAACCCCGGGCGCTTCCTCGCTCCCCTGTCCGACGCTCCTGGCGGTGAGTCCTAGTCAGCCCTAGATGTTGCATGGGTACGGCCGTTTCGACCTGCGTACTTGTTTGTACTTACTGGTGCCTCGTACGACCGGCGGTCGCACATTCCGACCCTATGAAGGTTCCGACCTGGCCTGCGTCGGCGCATCACCCGGCTAAAACTCCGCCCGACCGGCTACCCGGCCAGGTGAACGGGACTAACGTACGGGACCGAAAATGGGAAGTTAACCGAAGGAGAAACACCATCTCCGAGAGACCATACGGTTGATACGTTGCATCCTTGCAATCGACACCGTGAAATATTGTTCTTCCTCTCTCTGTGACGGTCTCGACGCAACATGCGGCGACGTCCATCCGACGACGTCGAGCTTGACCGTACTATACTTACTGCAGAGTAGCTTTCGCAGCGAAAGATTACGGTAGCAGTTACTGCCTGTATCGTCGGTAGCATAAGACGTATCGATCTCGCTGCACCGTCGAGTGCGCCTTGGAACTCTACCGACAGCGGTTTGCTACTTTACGTCAGTTCTCGCAACGGCACCCCGAGACTCTCCCACGCGTGTGCTCGTTACCTCGCTAAAGTGCGGCGGAATTCGCCACGCCTGTGACCGCTGTTTCACGGTGTTTCCGTGTCACGTTTCCCGGGATGCGAAAATCGAGGCACCCATGGCAGCGCTACCCTTGGGTACACCTTTAACTCCGTCCATCTCTGTCTCTCTCTCTTCGTTTCTCCGTTTGTTTCCGTGCTCGTGTTTCCGTCACCGTCCGCGCCCCCTCTCATTATCTCCCTTTCTCTCTTTCTCTCCCTCCGTCCAGATCAACCATGGTGCAGGTGCCGCATAAACCGGAGCGCAAACGGGTCAGGCAGGAGGGATACGCTTCACGGCTTTGGCTCTGCTCTTTTCCCCTGTGTAGGGCCACCGCAATCAGAACTGTGCCGTTCCGTAGGTGGAAATTGTCCCGATTACGCCTCGCAGTCCTGCTTTCCCGAAACCCAAGATCCCTGGAGCCGGCACCTAGGGACAACCGGCCCTACCGTTCCACTCCCGTTCCTAGCACGTCCATCGTCCACGACTCCTGAGATAGATCCCGACGTACCCTGGGTCTCTGCGGATGGTACGAGTCTTACCTTTACCTCCTTATTTTCCCTACCTGGCCGTCTTTCTCTCCCTTCTCTTTTCTCTCGCCTTCGCTATCTCTGTCTTTCTCTTTCTCTCTGTCTGTCTCTTTGGCTCCAACCGATTCGCCTCGTGCGCGCGCACGTGCTTCCCCCTCTCGAGGCGGAGTCGGCCCCGGCGGACTCGCAGCGCAGTCGTCGTCCAGCGCTGCACCGCGACGGACGGGGCCTGGGGTCAGACCACGCGACTCTACGAACCTCGACACGCGAATGCTACTACCACCGCTCCGGGCATGACGCGTCACCGATTAACAAACTCTCCAGCCAAATCCGACAAGCCACACACAAAAGCGCCACTACCTTCGTACGATGCGGCATATGCCGTATAGGGTGTAAGCTCCTCTCGTCGCCGCGACTCACGGTCTCACCCTCGGGCCGTCTCTCTCCATCTCTTCCTTCTCCCCCACCTCCGTTTCCGACCGTTCGTTCACACGAATGGGCCACTCGATCTTCGTTCGTATTCCAAGTACGCATGTCACGGGGAAGAGCAAGCTCCGACCCCGAGGCTCGCGGGTCACCCCCTGCATCCTCTCCTGTGATTCGGGTCGGGCCGTTCTTGCTTTCTCCGTTTCTCCGTCTCTCGTCCGGTGCAGGAAGAAGTTAATTGCGAGTGATATCGGAGCTTAACGTAGGTTCCTTGGGAAGGCTCGAGGCAGTTTCACCTTGACCCTTTCGCTTGGATTACTCCCGTCCTCCTCCGGATCTCTCCCGATCTCTCCTGCCGACGGTCATCGAGTCCGCGACGAGCCCGTAAGCGGTCGTCGGTAGAAAGGGCGGGGAGCGACGGGGAAGCTCACGGAGGGAGAGAAACCCCGATTACGGACCAGCCGTGGCGTCCCGATACGTGAACGCGTATTCTGGGGAATACGAGAGAATGCGAGGCGGAACGAATGCATAAGCGGGTGTAAACCTTGAAAAGTGGGAGCAAGGACGGAACGTCAAAGTATACAGCGAAACGGAGAAAGGAAAGTAACGAAAAACGATATGCAAAACGGACGATGACTCGAATCGGTCGAAGAGTTTGCGACGGGGGTGCTGCGCGCCGAGGAGCGAACGAGCGAGCGGATAATTCCAGAGAAAAGCGATCTTAAAGGGAGACGCGCGTGCGTTGTCCCACGCACACCCTGTCTCTCTCTCTGTCTCTCTCTCTCTCTTTCTCCTCTCTGCACTTGGGAACCGAGTGATGAAGAACTGGTTTGATGTTTTTTAAAAACAGATGGGGCCGCGGCCAGCCGGATGATATCGGTGCGATCAATCTAGGAGACGAGAAATTCGACCCCGACTCGGATAAAAAGCCGCGCGCAGGACAAATTCTATGGATCCGCGGTCTGACGCGGCTACAGACTCAGGTAACTATCCCTATCTCACTCTCATATCACCGCGGAATCACGCATTCACGCAACGGCTCGAGACTCTACGCGCACGAGGGCTCGCGCATCGCGCGACCCGTGGCGCCACCTCGCGCTCGCTCTTACGGGATTCTTCCTCCTGTCTCTCTCCTATGTATATATGTATACATATATATCTTTTTTCTCTCTCTCTTTTTTTTATCATTATTATTTCCCCCTGGAGGACTCGCAGGAGGGTGCTCAGCCGATACCGTCGATCGGTACTCACCTACACGCGCCTCTTTTATGTGCCGCGACATCCCCCGACGACGTTCGCTTTCTCTCTCGTTGTCGAGGGTCTTTTATCACTATAGATTTCTCGTTTTCTATCTCCGTCTTCCGTGCTCCGTTTCGTTTCTCTCTTGGTCTCTTCCTCTGTCTCTCTATCTTACACTTTCTATCTGACTTCTGTCCCCGAGTGGACTCTTATCGCTGTCTATCGGTCCGTTTCTCGAGTTGTCGCGTCGTTTCATCGTGGACTTTCGAGCGGTTCCGCGCACGCGCGCTACCTCTGCTGATAATTTTCTACAGAAACGTGGGAGAATATCGATGACGTCGTTAAAGAAAAATAGGTTTTTTAGGTCCCTGATTACATTTCAGCTAGTCGTGGGAACCATCGAGCGATCAAATGGCCGTACTTTTCAACAGTTTTACCGATCTCTCTTGTGTTTCTGTAGAATATTTCCGGCAAGGATATCATACGCTACTATTGGACCCAATTATTTGTTTTACATTTTATCGGCTCCTGTGTTTAAGGTGCCGAAAACTTTGAAGGGTATTATGGGCAAATTGTTTTTTTTTCAATGAATGAATGGGGCCAGTCAGTTTCGAAACCTGAATTGATAAAAAAAATTACTAGATATTGTTTTGCAGAAACAGTCGTTACGCGTCTCGATACGTTACTGTACTGTCATATCCTGTGATACTGAATTAGAGTGTTAAAATTGAACCCAGTCGTTCCCATTACTTGTGAGTTACAGTTGTGCAGAAAGTTCGATGACAAATGTGTTGCTGGATTGAAGCGTGTTACATCAAACGGACGTATAGTTATGCCTAGAGTTATGTGGAGACCGACAGTCATACCACACGCGTCCGAACTATTAAGTTAATTTATACGTTGACATGTTCACAACTCGCGGCTGGCTTTTGTACCGTTGATGGTTTTACACGCTTTCTGGATTACTGTACTCAAAGGGGTCCAAACTAGGAGGGATGGTCACGTTTCTCATTTTGTTATCTGGATTGAATTTAACGAGAATTTGGATAAACGTGTTTATCTAATATTCTGATAAGCTATTTTTTTTCTCACTGATACTTAATAGTTCCTATCCCTATCTTATTCTGTCTAATTCTTAAAGCTGTGATATCCCAAGAGGACTCTATAGATTGAACGAAATAAGATGACCGGTAGTTTTACGTAGTACTTATTATTGTTGGAACGTGGATTCATAATACCATTGTAGTCTCGTGACAAGTACGTGACCATCCTTGTGTCCAAAGTGGTAGCGCGCGCTGTCGTCATTGCGGTATTTGATTGACCTATTGATAATAACAAATGATCACGAATATACGCGAATAACGCCTCGCCTCGTTACAGTACTCATTCATCATCGAAACATTGTCCCGTCCGAGCTGCCTTAAGTGATTTGAAATTGACTTTACCGTCTGGATTTTCCTGTCGCTTTGTTACTATTTTTGTAAGCAATGCAAGGAACCGACAGAAAGATTTTCGTGCGTAAATTCATTGAGAGAATCTCATTGGTTCGATTACTATCTACATGATAAAACGGAAAAATTGTTCGTATATCTACCGTCCAAGCTGAACAAAATGCGACTTTTCATACAAAACGAGTTTTACTAGACAAAGTTTTATTTTGTCATTGAATAGCTCATTTATTTCTTCGTCCCGGTTCACCTAGATACTCACGCAATGCCCTGCATTGTCCTCGAAAAGTCGCGGATACTTTGAGGATGAACTCACGTAGTTTAAAGTCAATTTCGAATCCCCATAAAGTCTTTGAGCGAAAGCTCGTTCTTGGAAGATCTTCAACTCCCATTCGCTATTTAATTCACAATCACAGTCGATCGCTCCAATGATGTGAACATCTTCAGTGCGTTAATACCACCCTACACGTCACACATACCAATTTTGATAAATGTACAACGCCCTCTCACACACTTTTCGATCGCTTTCGCATCATTACCTACCCGCGACCAAGTACATTCTCGTCACATCGAACTACTCAGTTTGCACGCGAATCTCAGGAGTCCCTCATCGATACAATCGCAAACAGTCGACGCATCCTAACAATAAGTGAACATTCGGCCTCTAACGACAGCGTTTTGTTCGTTTCATTAAGGATCCGGTTTATCGTCATACCTCGCGCGGGACGATCTCTTCGTTCCTCTTCTCTTTCTCTCTCTCTCTCTCTCTCTCTCTCTCTCTCTCTCTCTCTCTCTCTCTCTCTCTCTCACTTTCTTTCTATCCCTCTCTGACTTTCTCTCGATTTTTGATCTATCTATCCGTTTGATCCCCGGCCTCACCGCGATCGGCCGCGATGACGAGTCGGGAGATCGCGGCGAGGACGATCCTCGATGTCGCGCTCGAAGGATCGAGCGCGGATCGATGCGTGAGAAAAGTGAACGATCCGCTCGACGGTGCGTACATCTCCTGGGCAAATCGAGCACGGATCACGCGAAGGACGTGTACATTGCCATCCATCGATGGTTACCTCGCGGACCTACTGCCCTCTCCGGCCGTGTGGCGTACTAGCTGCGGGAGCAGCACGAAATTTCAATCACCCAAGAAGCTGAGCTCGCCGAGCCGAGCCGTGACGCGCCGTGACGTGCCGTGACGCGACGTGGTGTACCGTGATGTGCCGTGATGTTCCGTAACGTGCTGTGGTGTTCCGTAACGTGCCGTGATGTACTGTGGCGTGCCGTGGTGTGTCGTGGCGTGTCTAACGTACTTTAACACTTTAACGACCGCCCTTCTATCTATCACACTATCTATCACACTATCTATCACACACATGTTGTGTGAGCGGTCGTTAAAGTGTTAACATTCCGTGGCGTGCCTTGACGTACCGTGACGTGCCATGACGTGCCATGACGTGCCGTGGCATGCTGTAACGTGCCGTAACATATCGTAACGTCCCGTGGCATGCCATAACGTGCCGTAGCGTGCCGTAACGTACTGTGAATTGCCGTGGCGTGTCGTGGCCACGTCGACCCGTTACGGCCCACTACGGCACGTCACGGCACGTCACGGCATGTTATGGCACGTTACAGCACGTTACGACGCGCCACGCCACGTTACGACATGTTACGGTACGTTATGGCACGTTATGGCATATTATGGCATGCCACGGCACGTTACGTTTTGACACGTTACGGCACACCACGACACATTACAGTACGTTACGGTACGTTGCGGAACGTCACGGCACGTTACGGCAAGGCACGGCACGTTACGCACGTCACACCACGTCACGGCACGCTACGGCTCGGCTGGGCGGGCTTTGCTTCTTAGGCGATTGAAGTTTCGGGCTACTCCCGCAGCTAGTACGTCGCGCGGCCGGAGAGAGTAGTAGGTCCGCGAGATAACCATCGATGGGTGGCAGTATACCGTCGATAACGTCGATGCACGAACACCCGTCGAGAGCCCCCGGACGAAACCGCAGGGACTTTCTACCGCGCGTTTCGTCCCGCGAGCGAGACCCTCCTGTGTGTATGTATGCGTATATATATGTATGCAGCGGTATATACATATATACATGATGCATTTGCGTACGTAAACCGGCGTAAATCGCTAGAGCCCGCTAGTCAGCCCGGTTGTCACAAAGTAGGAACGTAGGAGCGTAGTAACGAGAGAGACTGTACATAGACGCGTTGCGTACCTGCGGTAACTCCAAGATACGCACCCCTACACCGCACCGTGCGTGCGCTCCTCGAGCCGACCCCCTTCTACCCTCCCTTTCCCCCCTACGTGATGATACGCGCACATATACTCACACGTACATCCATCGCCGCGGGAGAACGCGCGATCGAGTACACGAGGACTCGTGCCTTTTTATGGTATGACCTCTGGGGGGTGGCGACTCCCCGTTTCTCGCCCCAACCGACTTTTCGGGTCGCCGGGTACCCTCTCCGTGGTCCGTACCTCGAGGGCGCACTCGCAATTTGCTACGTTCCACGGCGATCTTTAAACATTTGGAGGCCCACCGTCGGGGTATTCGAATGACGGTGAAACGAGTAAGAGAAGATGCGAAGGACTTTGGAAAGGTTCGGGAGCGACGATTGCGAGGGCGCACCACCGATTCGCGCCCAACGGGAGCACCTTGGACCTAGGTACCCTGGAGGTGCGAGCACCAGAAGGGGACGCTGCTCTCGTCGGTACGACCGAGCAGCCGGAGACGAACGCCCCCGTTTTTAACCCCATATCGTTATCGGTCTCCGTTACACGACGCAGTTAGCCTCTTAGTAATGGTCCACGCAGTCCTCAGCCAGTCATCGCACCCCCGAATGTCTCACTACTCTCCATCCTCGGAATACCGGGATATCTCTACCCCCCCCCCCCCCCTCCTTGGGGACGATATTAATCAAGGCTCTGCGTTAATTTTTCTACTCTTTCAGTTTCATCTCTCTTCATCCGTTTTCGTCTCTCTCTCTCTCTCTCTCTCTCTCTCTCCATTCTTCTCTTTCTTCCTCCTTCCGCCTCACGCACACACACGTTCTCTCTCACTCTCAATAAGCTCTCTTTTCCCGCGCGTGTGTATATGTGATATACTCACGTTATTATAATATGTGTATAAATCTCTCTCTCTCTTTCTCTCCTTATCTTCTCTATGCTTCTCGGCCAAGGTTCAAGTATCGCGACATCGCGGTCGTTCGAGACAGCGTGCGGGCGAAAAGTGACATCGGAGATGTCGCGTTTGCCGGCTGTTTGCTTTTGACTCGCC